CGGCTGCTACTCTGAAATCTACTTCTAGGGAGACTTTATCTCCTGTGCAGGGCATGCCGCAGCTGAATCACTCCTCACTCCCTGCTCTGGTGGTGTACACATTTCCACTGGCTCTGCCAGTACCGCTGATGGAACTGGTCTTTGAATTTTTGTCTTCAGAGGAATTGGATGAAGGACGGGGGCTGTCCATCCCTTCCCGCCACTATGAGTACCAGTAGAGGCCTTCTACATCCTGGCAGTAACCTCCACTCCAGCCGCCCACGACAACACCCTCTGGATGTATCATACTGGCTCTACTGGGGATCCTGGTCCCAATACCCATCCTTGGAACCTGTCTATTCCGTCAGAGAAACATCACCTATTTCGCTGTCTTGGGCATCTTCGAGTAGATGCTCAGAACTGATGATGGAAGAAGAGCCACTCAGTCCGGTTCCACTGGTACTGCTGGAACAGGAGAGATTCCCATCATCCTCATTTGAAGCAGCAGTGGCTGTGGTATCTCCCGCATCTCCTGATGACTACTGCCAGTTCCAGGATCTTTTGCGCAGAGTGGCAGGAGAGCTGCATATTCCTCTGGAGGAGATCCAAGACACTCCTCAGAAGCTGCTAGACACACTTCACTCATTGGTGATGGGTAGAGTTGCTCTGCCAATCGATGCCATCCCCGAGCCAGCCTAGAATGGTTTGGCATATGCCAGCCACATGTATGCCTACCACCAACAGGGCAGATAAATGCTACTATGTGAGAGCCAAGGGGTATGAGTTTTTCTCACACCCTCCCCCACCCCACCCACAATTCACTTGTGGTCCAGAGAGCGATGGAATGGGCTAGAAATCAGCATCCATGCTCCAGCCCATCCGACAGGGAAGGCAAGCAGCTGGACCTTTTGGGCCACAAGATCTTCTCCCCTCAGTCAGCCTTCCATTCAGGATCTCGAATTATCAAGCATTACCTGGTAAATACAGTTTCCTTCATTAAAGCAAATTGGAGGACTTTGCTGAAAAACTGCCACAAGACCAGGCAGACTTCCAAGCAATAATGGAGGGGAAGCTAGTAGCAAGAATATCGCTACTAGCTAGTAGCAAGAAAATCAGCCTCTTCCATGCTGCCATGAGTACTCCAGAGGATCAGACGGAACAGAGTAACAGTCATTCTGAGAGAGTTCTAGTTTCCCAACCTCCTCTACATGTCTGCCCATCCCCCAATTCCCATCCATGCTTTCTTCAAGCTACTGACACAGCACAACAGCAGGATCAGACATCCCAATCCACAGACACTTCACCTCAGAGTGTGGTATTTGGATGGCATCTTCTCTAGAATGGGTGTATTCATCAGAAAGCAGTGAGAAAGAACCCACTAGGTGTTCCTCCCAGGTCAAGTGGAACTGTTTCACCCAACAGAAGGAGTTTTCCCCAGAAGCAGTGGAGATTCCCCTGCTTTTAGACTCCCTTCTGTCCTTGAAGGCATTGGGCCGCTCCCTCAACTCTCTCAAGGTAAACCCAGCGGCAGTTAACATCTTCCCCCTCTCCTCTCCCTCTTTCCCCCAGAAGGACATTCTATCTTTACACACCTGCTGATTGCTAGGTTTTGGAAAAGTCTCATCAGAACCTTCCGACCCGTACAATCCATTTCTCTCCAGTGGGACCTCAAATTAGTTCTCTCATCACTAACGGAACTGCCATTTGAACCACAGTCTTCATGCTCTGTGTCACTCCTTTCCATGAATGTCACTTTCCTTGTTGGCTATCACTTCTTCGAGAAGGGTAGGTGAACTTTGGGGCCATGATTGCAGACCCTTCCTTCACCACTTTACATAAAGATAGTCTCCCTGCACTTGCTTCCAAAGATCGCTTCCAAAGATCATTTCCAAAGCATCATACCTTGGAAGAGGAATAACGACTCCACTCTCTTGATGTCCATCGGGTCTTCACCTTCTACCTGAAGAGGACAAGACCGATCAGGAAATCTCCTAAACTCTTCGTTGCAATTGCTGGAAGAGTTAAAGGTCAGACAATCTCCACACAGAGAATCTTCACGTGATTTTTGGGTGCATCACACTATGCTGTCAGTTATTGGAACTGCCTTCAGTTTCTGGGGTGCGGGCAGATTCCACAAGAGCTCAGGCTTTGACCATAGCCTCATTCCATGACGTACCACTCTGGGACATATGTTGAGCAGCCATGTGGCATTATATCTTGGTGCAGGAATTGGTGGCAGATGCCTCCTTCGGCGCAGCTGTCCTCTGCTCAACCGTTCCATCTTTATCCTTGCACCCTCCTCCGACTTAGGTACTGCTCGTTAATCACCCTCAGTAGAATACAATGGGGACCATCACTCGAAGAAGAAGAGGAGGTTACTTATGTATAACTAGAGGTTCTTCAAGATGTGTTGGCCCTATCTGTATTCCATTTCTCACTCTCTACTGTGGATCTGTTGGATTTACAGTGAAGAAAGAACTAGAGATGCGGATGGTCAGCACTGCCTTTATCACCTCAGATGAAACCATGAGGTGAACCAAGGGTGCATGCGCAAACCAACAGACACTACTACTTTCAAAATCTCCAGCTCCAGATGCATGGTTCAGTGTAATACAGATAGGCACCACACATCTCGAAGAACCTCCAGTTACAGGTAAGTAACCTCCTCTTACTGAGTGGCCGTTTCCAAGTTTTGTAGGTATAGCTAGTTACTCAGGTTGTTTCCTGGGGAATTTGGAGCAGGCTGCTCTTGAGAAACCATAACTCCAACCCCAGAACAGTCAATTTGCATGTCTGGAGCAGGAAGTCAGATGCAACCAGTTAATCCTAGATTAGCTCTTTGCAGAAACTCCATTTATAGGTAAGACAAATTAGTGTCCTGTAGAAATGCCTTCTTGGCTTTATAGTTCTGTGTTTATCGTAGCTTCATCAAAAAGAGGTAGAGAAGCAACTAGCTGCTTCATTGTTTTGAGCACTGTGTTTAGTACGGAAGGGGCACAATATGCTGGTGTTAATTTGATAATCCCATTGTCTTTATTCAGTGTTTGATAACTTCATTGTCATTTTATTTACAAAATATTTGCAGATCCAGAGGTTCCATTAAACCTGGTGTTTCTGAGGCAACCTTCTCCACTTACCAAAGTTACTGGGCAAAGTGCAGTTTTCCCATGTGTCACTGCAGGATTTCCAACTCCAGTTGTCAGGTGGATGAAAAACGAAGAAGAACTTACCACAGAAGGGTAAGTAATGGCTAGTAAATGGAAATTGACTTTCCTAATACTTAGTAATATAGGAATTATTATGCCAAGTGAGACTTATGGTTTTAGACCTAAGTCCACTCAGCTTCTGCTTAATTTTAAAGTGACGCAGTAGGTTCTACTGTTCTAATGTGGGGGTCTTCAGGTTGAGGGTTGTGACAAGCCTTGTGCCACGTAGGGTGGGCAGACCAACTCAGAAGTCAATCCAGAACACTGGTAAAACAACAGAGGGTCTGTTCAGTGGATCTAAACCACAGGAATGTCAGTATGATGCCACATGATCACATTTATTTATTTGTTTGATATTTAAAAACAGGAAATTGCACACAACAAAACTGTTAAAAGAATGTTAAGGTGGCAAAGTCAAACATTTGAAAATAGGGAAATTCCAGAATTAAGGTTACCTTTGTAACCTAACTGGGCTCCCTTCTGCATATGCATTACGATATTATTTAATTACATGATCAAATGCTACGTTTTCCACAGTATCCTTGCCTCATTCAGTGCACAGAAAGGACAGTACTCAATGAGCAGCTATGGAGTATTTTTTTGTCCTCATTGTTCACTGTATGGTCCTATGCCTTATTTACTCCATACTATTCAAACTCTGCTTTGAAGACATTTATTAATTTCCTCATGGGCTTTTTTTTGTGGTGCTTATCTCTAGAGTATCTGAATGGTTCACAAATATTAATTTATTTTCACAGTACATTTGTGAGATTAGGTGGTAATATGCCTGTTTTACAGCTGAGAAACTGAGGCACAGAAATCAAGGTTGAAAGTATCTTAATTTTGGTGTCCAATTTGAGATGCCTTGGACTAGATTTTTCAGTGTACATAGCATTATATAGCACTTTATATATTCAAAACCCCGCTCCCATTGACTTCAGTTGCAGCTGTAAGTGTTCAGCCCTTCATCAGTTCAGATCCCAAGGCCTCAATTTGAGCACCCAGAAACATAGGAGCATACTATTAGTGACCACGCCTTAAAGTTTGGTTTAAGCAATTTGCCAGGCGTCACACAGGGACTCTGTGACAGAGGTAGGGATAGAATCCAATTCTCCGTGGCAGAATTCAACTACCTTACCCGTGAGATCATCCTTTCTCTTCCTGTAATCTCCTGCCTGAATCGCTATATATTTTACAACCTCTGCAACAAATGAGGCTGAGATCCTACAAACAAGTGTCCTTCATTATACAACCTTGATTCATTGATTTAGGGCTGAGTATTGCACGTCTTTTTCTAGATTTAAAGGCCAGTTATCTAGAATGTAAGTGGGTGTGTGGGTCTTTTCAAGCCAGCCTCCCAGGGTATGTCTACACTGCAATAAAACACCTGTGGCTGGCCCTTGTCAGCTGTCTTGGGCTCACAGAACTCAGGCTGTGGGACAATAAAATTGCACTGTAGACCTCCGGGCTTGGGACCCCATGGAGAACGTGGAGGTGGCATTGGTCCCATAACCCAGACACCAGCCTGAGTCCAGACATCTACACTGCAGTTTTATAGCCCTGAAGCCCAAGTCAGCTGACATGGGAGAGCTGCGGGTGTTTTATTGCAGTGTAGGCATACCCCCAGTGACCTGATAGCCCCTGATAACTCCATACACTTTTATGAGTTAATAGATACTACATCAGTGGACATCTAGTCTCTGAGAGAGACAGTTAAGAGGAATATTTCTTTTTCCTTTAAAGCTCAAAATAAATGTTCACCTCTACAAAAAAGAGGGAATAAATAAGGGGTTGGGCCCTAAAAGCCTTTTTTAACATATTATACTACAAAGTCTCTTTGGTAAGCTAGGGGACGAGAGAGGTATTTGGCTGTTGCTGGCTAAAGTTGATTCCATTTGTGTTATGGCTTTTTCCTTAGAGAAGTATGGTTGTTAACATAAAGTTTATTTTGAGGGATAATAAAGAGGAAAATTTGATTTGCCTCACTCTGCAGAACATGAGTTCTTGATTCGTTTTTCATAGAACACAGTTCTCCTTTGAGTGATGAGTGTCTTCCAATGTGAGTGCACGTACGCTTCATGTGCCTGTGCCCGCTGCCTCCTTGTGCTCTGAATCAAGAACATAAGGGGTGACATTTATAGCCTGCTTCTCTAGTTCCTTTTTGCTGCTTGTGATTTGAGATGGAACCCCTGCAATTTTACTAGCTGTTCCTGTTCGAGTCTAACTTTTTTTCTGGAAATAGTTTATGGTCGGATCATTGTATTTTATGAATTTAGGAGTTCCTTAGTGTAGATCAGGGGTCGGCAACCTTTCAGATTTGGTGTGCCGAGTCTTCATTTATTCACTCTAATTTAAGGTTTCACATGCCAGTAATACATTTTAACATTTTTAGAAAGTGTCTTTCTATAAGTCTATAATATATAACTAAACTATTGTTGCATGTAAAGTAAATAAGGTTTTTAAAATGTTTAAGAAGCTTCATTTAAAATTAAATTCAAATGCAGAGCCCCGCAGACTGGTGGCCAGGACCTGGGCAGCGTGAGTGCCATTGAAAATCAGCTCGCGTGCCGCCTGTGGCATGCGTGCCATAGGTTGCCTACCCCTGGTGTAGATAGTGTTTCAGGGTGTAGGGGTTCCCAGTCCATCACTCACCATGCACTAGAGAATCAGCAATCCTGTGAATTCTGGCTCCAAACACACCTAATGAAGTGGACAATGAGGCCCCAGTCTACCCCCAAGTAATCTGCCCCCACAAGATGCTCCCTGGCTCTGGTTTGGCAGACACCATGCCTAAGGACACTAGCAAGTGACGGGAGAAGCATAAGGACAAATACCCCCATAAGAAACAGGAAAAATCTCCTCCCTAAACCTTCCCAAACAAATGAGATTCCACACCTCAGTATGGGTGTGTCAGGAGCTCGCGAGGTACGTGGGTCTGAACTACTGGTACCAAGGGCCAAGAGCATCCTGAAACAGCCAGCCACAGGAGGGGCAGGAACGACCCCAGTGTTAGCAAGGGAGACAAGGGAACAATTGCTGGCTGCACCGATACAGCACAGTGGGAAGAAGGACTTGGCAATGCTGACATTCACTGATTGAAATAGGCACAGTTGGCTCTACCAAAAGGGAGAAGCCCATTCTGCTCCCCACCTGCGAGACCCAGATCGTGGAAAACTTGGCCTATATTTCTATCCAGAGTCACTAATACTTGTGGAATCAGTGGTTTCGAAAGCGATACCCATACCATTGGTGCACCATTTGCTGGTACTGTCCACCAGGCAAGGTATCACAAAATGCATGGTTCCATTGTCTCTGCTGGTGGAATCTGAAGAGTCCTACTCCTCAAGTGAACTGGAGGCTGAGACAGTAGTTCCTCTGCCTGCTCTGAGGCATAACATTAACTGTGACAGGGCACCCTCTCTAGGCACCCTCATGCTGCCAAAGAGCATACTACAGGGTTCAGGACCAGTGGTACCCTCACCCTTAGCCTTACGATTTCACTCACTGGCTCTTTTGGGGTTCTTGGGATTCTTATTTCAGACGTCCCAGTTTCAAAGGATCTGAGTGGGAGTCCAGACAGAGGTTGCCGCTTAGGGAGGAACTGCAGCCCACTCAAGAGAATTATGAGGAGAATGATCAACCCAATAAGACAAACCCAGTTAATCCTCCTGCAGCACTTTCATCCTCATCACCCGATGAGGTGATGTCACTGGCCTTGCCATTGTCACCCAACAACTGTAATAAGCAGGAAGAACTGGAAGTGCTAATAAATAAATACAACTATGACATTGTTGGCATCACTGAAACTTGGTGGGATAATACACATGATTGGAATGTTGGTGTGGATGGATACAGCTTGCTCAGGAGGGATAGACAGGGGAAAAAGGGAGAAGGTGTTGCCTTATATATTAAAAATGTACACACTTGGACTGAGGTAGAGATGGACATAGGAGATGGAAGTGTTGAGAGTTTCTGGGTTAGGCTAAAAGGGGTAAAAAACAAGGGTGATGTCATGCTAGGAGTCTACTACAGACCACCTAACCA